CTCATAGCGAGAAGTTGGCAATCGCATTTGGCCTTGTCAGCACCCCTGAGGGAACCCCTATTCGGATTACAAAGAATCTTAGAGTTTGTGGTGATTGTCATACATTTAGTAAATTTGTGTCTGCAATTATGCAGAGGATGATTATTGTTCGTGATGCAAATCGGTTTCACCACTTTAAGGAAGGTGCTTGCTCTTGTGGTGACTACTGGTGATTGGCCTTTCCTTCCCAGGTGAGGTGGGGTCTCTTCTCATATTTTGTTTACTGGATCTTTCATTCTTCGATGACAACACCTGTACAATTTTGTATGACAAATCATAATATATAAATTAAAATTGTCATGATCATTTTGGATGACGAATATCTTTCTTTGAGCTACAAAACTACCCAAAGGATTTCATTTTTTTCATAAAAATTAAAATTCAACAGACCTGTTGAGATTAATTCTGCTCTTCATTTTACTTGAAGGAATTGAACTACTTGAATCAACTATTCTTTGATGAAGAAGATGGTAGCATGACAATTGTATTCATTTTTGCTTAAATAAGGATATGTCAACCCACTGCTTTATATATATAATAGTAGAATAATTTTTTCATGATAAATTGTCTTTTGAAGTACCTAATTTTCTAATAAATGGATCCCATATAAATTAAATGAGATATACATCTTTTGGATATGGCTTGGCACCAATTGACCTATTTAACGTGTTTCTAGTCATGGAAGGTTTTTGGAGTTGTGGAAAACATTGACTAAGAGTCAAAACCTGAAGGCCCTGGTTGAATGAACCATAAGAGTTGCTGGAGAAGAAACTTCTAGAGGCTCCAGCTCAAAGTGAGCTGAAGAGGAACACACCTGATTGACGGGGAAAGAAAAATCTAAAGGGCTTGGTTTTTTTTTTTTTTTTTTTGTCTTGGGGCATTTTTTCCTACTGAAATTATGAATACATGCTAGGTATATTTTGTAGAATTTTGAGAGAAAAATTCTCATTATGGAGAGCAAAAGCCTTAACAAGAAACCTTTCTTCAACCATTTAAAGAGTGCTTCATGTTTTTCAAAAGATATAATATATTTCATGATTGAGAGTTTTTTTATAGAAAAATCCACACAAATTGTGCATTGCATACCTACTCATTGATCATTTGAGTAACAGAACCACGTCAAGTGGAGATTGGTTGAGATCGTGGTTGACTATTAGATTAAAAGCAGTCTAAAAGTTTCGGAGCCACAAGGAGTGGATAGCGAATGAGGAGTTTATGGAAAAACGTCAAGATCAAAGGCTAACTGAGTTAGGATTGTAAGTCCTTCTGTCTTGAATATGTAATAACTTTTCATTTATAGTGAATTATTACCGATCAGCTGCGCTTATGTGGATAATCTTACTATGGTTTGTGTGGTTGCCCGTATGATTGATTGATATATTCAACTTGGCATATCAAATAGAAATGACTCTAGTTTAATAAATTTTAATTGGTAATAACTCTTAGGATTTGAACTATTCACCCTCTCTAGCCACAAACAGGATGATCTCCATGATTTGAACTTAAAATGTTATGGAGAGAGTAGGTTTAGGAGAAAAATAACCCCCAAACCCCTCATTCTTTACTAAAGGTTAATGTCATTTGTCTGGTTGATCCAACTCATTCAGTCACCTCATATCTAGGAAATGTTGTTGTACTTTGCATTTGGTCATTATGTTTAGACTTCCATTTAATCATTTTAGAAGCATTTGAAATATAAAAGAGATATTGACCACAAAAAAAAAAAAAATGAAAAAGTTAACTAAAAAATGAAAAGGCTGTTAACATAGTTTGTGACATTCAAATGCTATTTTCCATTACAAAACTAGTAATAGATTAGATGAAGGGCAACTCCACCTTAGGGTTGATGGGATACATGACTCATCATGCAATAAGAAATCCTTTAAAAAATTTATTTATATTATTAATATTTTATTTAATATTGTTTAATCTAAGTAAAAAAATAAATAAATTAAGGGACCCCATCAAGTAGTGGTCTACACCCATTAGACACCTATTGTTTGGAAAGTTTGAATCACTTTGTTTGGTTAACAGTTTAACAGTTTTTAAGAATAATTTTTGAGCTTTTAATTTTTTTTATAAATATTTTAAGCAATTCTGTTAATTTTTAAATCCTCTCAATCTAGATACGTTTTAAAAGTAAAATATTTGTAAAAAAAAATATTTTAAAAATTCACTAAATACAAAAAATACAAAATTTTAATGTATATATATATTTTATTTTTTTATTTATTGAATTTTTTATAGATTTTTTTTATAAATATTTTAATTTTTAAATACATTTAGGTTACATACATTTCAAACTTTTTTTTTTAAAAAAAAGAGAGACTAAAATAAGAAGGGAAAAATTATAAAAACAACAAAATACGGAAAAATAAAAAATTTTGAACTTTTTTGAAAACTGGAAACCAAACGAAGTAAATATTATATAGTTTTTTTAAAAAAAAATAAAATTTACAGAACTTAAGCTTGTGGAGTGACCCCATCTATAAAAATTCTTGGCGTCACCACTGATTATCGATTGTGCAATTTGAAGATTAACATTCTCATTGATTCCTCAGATTGCAGGGTCTAGTTTCAATCTCTCAATCACCACTAAAAAACCCTAACAATATATATATATATATATATATATATATTAAAAAGAAAAAAAATCACCATTGGTGTTTGGCACCAGTTTAAAGTTAACTTTTGAACTTAAAAAAAGTCATAAAAAGAAAAAAAAAAAAAAAAAAAAAAGTGAACATTCCATTTAGATTCAGAGATGGAAAAAAAAAAAAAATTAAGGTTGCGTTTGGTAGAATTTTAAAATTATGATTTGAGAATAAAGTTGTATTTTGAGTTTGTGAGTTTTAGAATTGTGATTTACGTATGAAAAATTTGTTTGATTATGAGTTTTAAAAAGAGTTTAAATTGAGTGATGTGACATATTATATTGAAAAGTAGGTGTTTTGAAAAATGTTTTGAAAAGTAAGTGTGAAATTAATTTTCTAAAGCTATAACCACACAATACACTCAAATTATGGGGTAGAATTAAATTTCAAAACCCTTACCAAACAGAACCTAAAATTTCTCATTTATGTGAGAAAAGAGAAGAAATGATTGTAATTTCTCTCATTTTTGTTTGGATAGAATATGATTAAACGTGTTATTTTGATTTCTCACCAAATCTTACAACTTCTAATGAGAGACAAAATTTAAGTTTGATATGATTTGGCTTTCTCACAATTTCTTTTTATTTTTCACCATAACTCACCTAATTAATCATCCAAACAAGTGATAAGAAATTTTATTCTCCCTATTTGTTTATTTTCTCACCAAATCCCCAATCCAAACGGAATATAAAAGCTAACATAACCGACTCTTTTTGTTATCCAATCTAATATATGTAAAACAATAGACCACACCACATGTGCTCACAAATTAGTCGAGACTAGGGATAAAACCCCTAACACCTTCATGAGAAAAAAAAATTATATCCGGAAGATTATTTATTCAATGGAGATGGTTTCGGGCATTCTTCATGAAGGAAGTTACTAAGGGCATTCTCTGCCAATGATTCTAGCCCAACTGATTCGATGTCAAAGGACAAAGGAAAGGCGACAAAAGCTCTTATTCAATACCCAATTGGCGTAAAGGGAGGGCATCTTAGGTCTCGTTTGACAAGTAATTGTTTTAGTCAAAAAGTCACTAAAAAAATCAAAAAGTCAAAGATTCTTTTTTCTATTTACTTTTTGTACATCTTTTCGTAAAAAAATAAAAAGTCATCCCAAACATAATAGTTTTTTTATATTATATTTTAATCAAAAAGTTACTAAAAAAACATGTTCCCAAATGAGACTTAAATACGGGCACTAGCTTTCCCGGTAGAGAATGCAAGATCTTAAAATTCTTCAGCCGAAGAATGACGAAGGTTTAGAAGGGGAAGTTATTCTTGATGCAGCAAGCAACACAAAATCATTAAGAGGTTTTTGAGCAAATGCAATTTTGACCAAATTCAAAAATAAGATACATTTTAAAATTTAGAGAAATTAAGCAATAATATAATATTTCACTTGCCAACTTTTCTTTTTATCACATATTAATTATCATTTCATGTGACATTTGTAAAATGATTAGATATTAATGAAATTTACGTAAATTTTTATTGTATTAATGATAGTAAAGTTTTATATGCATATATCAGAACATACATAATATAACTATAATGTTTTGTGACAAAACCACTACAATATCATAACTTTTCTCATTACAATAGTTTGTAAGATTTATCCATAAGCGGTTACATTCATAACATAATCACAACAAATAAGTTTTAGATAGAATACACATCATAAATTCAAACATTACTAACTTTTATAAAAAACAGACCTAACATTTTTCATTAGGTATTATTTCTCAAAGTCCTATCATACATTTCTTCATATATAACGTCAACAACTCAATTTAGTGTTAAAAATAAAAAATAAAATAAAATAAAATAAAAAAGCCATGCAATTCATCAAAAAATAAATAAATAAATAAGATAAAATGAAACCACCTCCCGGTCAATGTGAAAATTATCCAAATTTATTCCTATCCTTTAGTTTAGTTTCCTAACTCCTTCAGTCTCTTTCAAATGAATACCAACTGATATATTAATTGATATATTAACTGATATATTAATAGATTATATAGCATAATTTTATTAGTTTTGAATTTTTATAATTTATATAATAGGTAAAATCTATAATTTTATAGTAATTAGTGTCTGGGGCACCATTGCTTTCAAATCGAATCCTCTCTCTTTTTTATTTTTTATTTTTATTTTTAAGATGGATAAGACCAAATCCTCTCTCTATCTCTCTATATCCTAACTTCTTCCCGATTTCTACTGTTGTTTTTCTGTTTTTTATGTGATATATATACTGTTCCTTTTATTGTTTATTTATTCTCTCTCAGTCTCTCTCACTCAGTCAAAACCCAATGGAGGCATTGAAGTTTGTTTGGGGTTTGAAAGGTTTGATATGGTATAATGGGGTTGTTGTGATGATTATGATGATCATCATAGTCAACATTAATGGCAGCGTGGAAGCTTCCCACAAGGTGTATAGGGAGTACCAGTCCCTTCCTCCTCCCCTTGAACTCAACCACATCCACAGAACTGGCTTCCACTTTCAACCCAAACACCACTGGATCAATGGTAATAATCACACCTTTATTCAAGCCTCTCTCTCTCTTTTTTTTTAATTTTATTTTATTGAGGTTAGTGGTAGTGCCTTTGTATTGCACTGTAGCAATGCCTTCATTTTTCAAAATATATTTTTTATATAAAGCTTTCATATAAAATATAGAATGATGTTTTTTTTTTATTATTTTTTTTATCAACAAATAAAAAATTTCATTAAAAACATAAAATTTAAAGGTACAAAGAAAAAAGAACGCATTAAGAGAGATTCAAAGAGTAAAACACTCTGCTACTACTGCTACTCGCGTCTTTACAACCAACTCCTAAGTCACAATTTTTCCTATCCTTTAGTTTATAGTTTCCTGACTCCTTCAGTCTCTTTCAAATGAATACCAACTGATATATTAATTGATATATTAACTGATATATTAATAGATTATATAGCATAATTTTATTAATTTTGAATTTTTATAATTTATATAATAGATAAAATCTATAATTTTATAGTAATTAGTGTCTGGGGCACCATTGCTTTCAAATCAAATCCTCTCTCTTTTTTATTTTTTATTTTTATTTTTAAGATGGATAAGACCAAATCCTCTCTCTATCTCCCTATATCCTAACTTCTTCCCGAATTCCACTGTTGTTTTTCTGTTTTTTATGTGATATATATACTGTTCCTTTTATTGTTTTTTTATTCTCTCTCAGTCTCTCTCACTCAGTCAAAACCTAATGGAGGCATTGAAGGTTGTTTGGGGTTTGAAAGGTTTGATATGGTATAATGGGGTTGTTGTGATGATTATGATGATCATCATAGTCAACATTAATGGCAGCGTGGAAGCTTCCCACAAGGTGTATAGGGAGTACCAGTCCCTTCCTCCTTCCCTTGAACTCAACCACATCCACAGAACTGGCTTCCACTTTCAACCCAAACACCACTGGATCAATGGTAATAATCACACCTTTATTCAAGCCTCTCTCTTTTTTCTTTTTCTTTTTTTTTTTTAATTTTATTTTATTGAGGTTAGTGGTAGTGCCTTTGTATTGCACTGTAGCAATGCCTTCATTTTTCAAAATATATCTTTTATATAAAGCTTTCATATAAAATATAGAATGATGTTTTTTTTTATTATTATTTTTTTATCAGCAAATAAAAAATTTCATTAAAAAGATAAAATTTAAAGGTACAAAGAAAAAAGAACGCATTGAGAGAGATTCAAAGAGTAAAACACTCTGCTACTACTGCTACTCGCGTCTTTACAACTAACTCCTAAGCCTCCCAATTTATATAGTATTTTAAAAGACAAATAAAACAACAAAACAAAATCTTGAGCCCCACACCTATAGCACTGATACACAACTAGAACCCACGCCAGCCTCGAGTGCCCTACACCTCATTGTTCTCATCATAATATTCAAAATACAAATCATTTATTTTTGAAAATATGAAAACAATAACATACTTTATAAAAAAAAAAAAGAAAAGAAAAAAAGAAAAAGCAATAAATTACATTGACACCAATTTGGTTCAATTACATCAATGTTACGGACCTTTTGGAACTTACATACCCCTCTATGAGATTTAAAGTCACATTACGGCTCCCCCCCTCCCCCAAATAACCATTAAGTCAACTAACCTATTACTCTTAATTCACTAATTAATTTTGTAAAAATGTCTATTTTACTCTCACTAAATTTCATATCCACTCATTAAAACATATAAGAGTTTTAAAGATCAAATGTTTTGATTTTTAAAAGTAAAAATTTTGTTGCAAAAGACATTTAGAGACAAATTTTTATTGTCACGAGAATAGTTGCTAAAAGATCGTCTTAAAAAGTTAAAAACCAGGCTTTTAGCGAAATTTTAAAAATGTCACTAATAAATAGACTTTCAAAGAAAAAATAATTTGGTCTCAAAATGGTTTATTATTTGATCCCTAAAAAATAATTTTATCCTAAATTTTGGTCTTTAAAACCTTAATTTTTTTGTGGTGACTCTACCAACCAAAGTCACTCATTTGCTCAGCTATTTGAGACTTTCATCAAGCATTTGGTGTCAACCCCTATTAGAGCCACCACATCCAAACCTCCACAACCATAGGCCCCACTACCCCTAATCCCCATCACAATTACTAGTGCTTCTACCGTACATTTCACATAGAACTTCCATCAAACACCTTAAATTCATATTAGAAAAACCTCAACAACCAAATAACATCAATGGATAAAGCATGGTTCAATGTAGGTAAACCAAAGGTGTGAGAATGGGAATGGGAAGTGGTGTCTATTGTAGTGTTAGGAATTTAACAGTACTTAATCAGGATCAGTAAGAAGCAAAGTAACGAATAAGAAAAATAATACGAATTGAAACAATCATAGACATATACAAAAATTCAAGGATTTACATGGTTCACCTCGAAATAGGGCTACGTCCTCCGTTACTACAGTTTTACTATGGTTTGAAAACAATTACAACTCTCTCTGACAATACAAGAGACACCCCCTCTTATATGCACATAGCCAAGGCCTATATTAACTAATGTGAGATCGTATTAGTAGACCATCGATACTTATTGCAATGAGTTACTATCTCAGAGGGTTGAGAAACTACTCTCAAAGAGATTGCATTCCATCAACACTTGCACTGGTGACTCCTTTCTGCTTCTCATTGTTGCTATTAATTTTGAATATAGTGTCTTTATTTTCCAACAAAGGGTTATATCACAAGTTAACTAAAATATTCTTTTCGAAATAACTTAATCCCAATCATTTGGGCTATTTTAGTGAGGTCCAAGGATCAATAATGATTACATGATGACTTTATTTATACATATATATCAAGCTTCTTTTTACTTTGCTAAATGATAGGAATTCGGATTCTTAACCTCAATCATGCATATTAGTTTACCCGTCTTCTTGTGTATTCATTTCATACATCATTCCTGTCACTTACATTCCCTTTGTTTTCCATGATTACCATCATGAATTACCTTAATTTTGATGCTTTTGTATTCTAAAACTTTGGTTACCTATATTTCTGCCACTGCCATTATTACTGACTCTTTCTTTGTTTTTGTTTTTGTTTTTTACTGTATTCAATTTTGGTCTTCAAACAACAAACCACAGATCCAAATGGTGAGTAATTTTTTTTTTTTTAAAAGCCTTAAGTTACTTTTCATTGCAATCAAGAAAGCAAACTTATTTTTGCAAATAGCCTATTTTATTAGTATATTTATGTTTGCTCCATTTGTTTTGTAATATTTTCTTTCTCTTTTTTTGCAATCTAAATGTTAACAGGACCAATGTATTACCAAGGAATCTACCATTTATTTTACCAGTATAATCCTAAAGGTGCAGTTTGGGGCAACATTGTCTGGGCTCATTCAGTATCCACTGATATGATCAACTGGAAATCATTGGACCTTGCAATCTACCCTTCAAAATTGTTTGATCAATACGGGTGTTGGTCTGGGTCATCCACAATCCTTCCTGGCAATAAACCGGTCATACTCTATACCGGGATTATTGATAAAAACAATACCCAGGTCCAAAACTATGCAGTACCTGCTAATTATTCAGATCCATACCTCCAGGAATGGATAAAACCCAATAACAACCCATTAGTATTTCCTGGCATTGGTATAAATAAGACAGAATTTCGTGACCCGACTACTGCATGGTGGGACAAAGATGGGCATTGGAGGATTTTGGTGGGTAGCAAGAGAAAAGGTAGAGGGATGGTATATTTGTTTAGGAGTAGGGATTTCTTGAAATGGATTAAAGCCCAACACCCACTACATTCTAAGGCTAAGACGGGTATGTGGGAGTGCCCAGATTTCTACCCGGTGTCCATGGATAGTGCATTCGGATTGGAAACTTCGGCTATCGAGGGAAATATCAAACATGTCCTAAAGGTGAGCCTTGATGAGACAAGATTTGAGTACTATACAATTGGAACGTATTTTCTCGAAAAGGATAGGTATGTGCCAGATAATACATCCATTGATGGTTGGAACGGGTTGAGGTACGATTATGGAAATTTCTATGCTTCAAAGACATTTTTTGATGCTAGTAAGAATAGGAGGATCTTGTTGGGATGGTCTAATGAGTCAGATACCCCTACGGAGGATGTCAAAAAGGGATGGGCTGGAATTCAGGTAAATACATGTTGATCACCAATATTTGAGGAACTCCATTTTATTGGTTAAGAATTTACTAGTTTATTTTTTATGACATTATTTTAGACAATACCGCGAAAGGTCTGGCTTGATACAAGTGGAAAACAATTGGTACAATGGCCAATCGAAGAATTAGAAACTCTAAGAAGGGAAGAAGTTCACTTGAGTGATCATAAGCTCAATCTGGGAGATTACGTTGAAATTAAAGGAATTACAGCTATACAGGTTTGTTTTCTTAAAGTAGATTCCCTAATGTCATCATGTTTGTGGTAGAAAAAAAAGTATAGAAGCACAGAAAAAATTCCAAATAAAATACGAAGAGCGCTGTATTCATTCTAAAAAAAAGCCTATATTCCACCAGAATGAATATAGTGCAACTGCATTGCATTCTGTACGCTTTTTACCTTGAATAATTCTAGTGTTTGTCACATTATGAATAATGAAATGCTACTTTGTTCAAACAAGTTCAATAGCATTTTCATAAATGGTTGACTCATGTCTTCCTAGGCTGATGTTGAAGTGATCTTCTCATTCCCAAGCTTGGACAAGGCAGAGCCATTGGATCCTAGTTGGGTTCACATGGATGCCCAAACGCTTTGCAGCCACAAGGGTTCGACTGTTCAAGGTGGGGTTGGACCATTTGGCCTGTTAACATTGGCTTCAAAACACCTTGAACAATACACTCCCATCTTCTTTACAGTTTTTAAGGCAACAAACAAGCATGTTGTTCTCATGTGCTCTGATGCAACAAGGTTTGTAATATTTCTATGTATATGTGTGTCATTTTCTTGATCCTAATAGTTCCTCTTAATTAAGTCCTAACTAGGTTTTGCATTTGGCTACTTTGATAGTTCCTCTTTGAAGAAAGAAGTGTATAAGCCATCATATGCAAGTTTTGTGGATGCAGATTTAACTCATAAGAAGCTGTCACTCAGAAGTTTGGTATGATTTTATTTTATTTTATAAAAAAAGTGTTCCTCAAAATTCTTTTTCTCTCTCTGAATGACATGGCTAATTATGAACATGTTTGCAGATTGATCACTCTGTTGTGGAAAGTTTTGGAGCACAAGGAAAGACATGCATTACATCTAGGGTTTATCCTTCCCGAGCAGTATTAATGGATGCACATTTATATGCATTTAACAATGGTACTGAGACAATTACAATTGAAAATCTAAATGCCTGGAGCTTAGCCAATCCTCAAATGAACTAAGGAGGAGTTGAGTTTTTTTTTTTTTTTTTTTTTTGCCCTTTTGTTTAGGAAATGTTTTTACAATTTTATGTGGACATGAAAATAGTTAGAAGGACCTTATTAGATCTTTTTTATGGGATACATGTCTAGGGTTCAGTTCATTGTTGCATAATAAAAAAATAAAAAATAAAAAAGAGGCGGTTGTAGAAATGGTGAAAGTTGTGGATAGCTCATTTATTAGGAATTTAGACCACTTTTATCTTTATTTTTCAATGTTAAAACTCAACTTTCTTGATTACAGTTTGAAGGCCTTTTTGATATTAAAGCCTACAACACATATTGACCTCTAGCATAGAGTTCGATAGTATGATGTGTCAAGAGAGAGAGTCTCATTCCATGGACAAAAGACTCAACAGTGTTTCTAGTAACCACAAGATGGGTTAGAAAGAGAATGTCTTGTCAGGCGATTTGGCCGCAACAACGATTACAATACATTGCTTGAACATTCTTCATTCATTTGTCAAGATTCTTATTTCTCTTTCAATTTAGATTGTGTCGCGTCAAAAGTGAAAGAAATGGAAGGTTGAGATTGTCTTATCAAAAGGCGTCATTTTGGTTACTTTTCTTTCTTTTCATTTTGACGTCCTTCTGTTTCTCTACCTTACATCCCAAATCTTAGAGAACTTCCATTACCAAATCTGAGAGAGCAGCCGCCAAAAAATGATGACCAAGATCGACGATTAAGGTTATGTTTGATTGGAGAATTTGATAAAGGAAATGGAAATGGAAATGGAAAAAGAGGAAGAATTATTAGGATTCCAAATTCCAACTATGTTTGGTTGAGTTGGGAATTGAAGAAGGAAAAGAAATCATTTTTCAGAAACTCTCTCTCATTGCCCATCATCACACATGCCTCAGTCATCTCCATCAACGTGTCTGTTTCACTTCCTAATATGTTTAATATGGCTTGACTACAAATTGGTGCATATGACTGATAGATTTAATTAAATTTTTTTTTTTTAATCGAGGAAGCAGTTTTTTTTTCTCTCTTTTCAATAAAAAAAAGAACAAAGAATTGTAGTCGTGAATTGTAATAACGAAAATAAAAGTGTACATGATTAAAGTGCTTCGGTTTGTTTTTCAGAAAAAAGTTTCAATTTTTTAAAATAAAAAATAAAAATTAATTTGATAAAAATAAAAATCAATTTTTTTTTTAAATAAAAGAAAAATTATTTATAAGTCTTATTAAGGAGACTTATGCTACATATGATCCTACTAAAAAACTTATATTTCCATAAATCCTGTGGGAAGTTTGTTGACACATTTACCCTCAATATTAGTTGTTAATATCATAAATAATAGTAAAATCATATATAGGAAATTGAACGTTACCATAGATCATATAACGTGACACCTAAACGTAACGTGACACCTATGATCTATGGCAACATTCAAGGTGTCACGTTACGTTATAGGAAATTGAATGTTGCCATAGATCATAGGTGTCACGTTACGTTTATGTAAGTGTCACGTTACGTTACGTTTATGTAGATCATATAGAAAATTGAATGTTATCATAGATCATATTTATATGAAACGTAACGTGACACCAACATAAACCAGCAACGTTTCCACATTCAATTTAAAAAAATAAAAACTCATTAAGTTTGTGAAACGTAACGTGACACGTTATGTTACGTTTATGTAGGTGTCACGTTATGTTGCGTTTATATAGGTGTCACGTTATGTTACGTTTATGTAAGTGTCATGTCATGCTACGTTTATGTAGGATATTGTGGAATACATTCCTATCTAAATAGGACTTGAGACTCTATAAGAAATTACACAGGACTTAGCCTACCATAAGTGTCTGAAAAATGACTTATAAATAAGTCTCCCTTAAAAAAAATTTAAAAATTATTTATAGTCACCCAAAAAATAAAATTGTATAAAAATGGTAAATATTTTTGATTTCTTTCACCTAATTAATATTTTAGAAAAAAAAAATTTCAGCAAGTTTTTGAAAACCAAATCAAATAGTCTATTGATTTTGTGATTTTAAGAGCCAAACTAAACAGTTAACACCTATAAAATCGAATCAAAACCAAAATAAAAAAATAATTTTGTTTCAAATTTGTTCATGATTCCAAGAGTTCCTATTTAAATTGAACATAATGATGATCAAGTTAATATTATTAAAGTATTAATCAGTGTTACAGATCTATAGTTTTATTGGAATAGTCTCACAAGCATTAAAAAAAAAATCAACATTAAAATAGAACTTGATAAGTAGTGCATAGCATTCACATCCATAATATCATAAAGAAGTGCAACATAAACCATTTGGAATCTCAAGGACACATACATGCCCTGAATCTACCATTCAAGTGCGGCATGCAACTAAGAAAGTCTACATACAAAAAATCCAAGCTTAATGATATTTTCATAGGTTTACTAAATCCCTGAAAATTTCAAATAAAAAAGTACTAAAGAAAGAAAAATAGTACTATGCATCAAAGATTGAAAATCCAAATTTAACAGATAACCAATGACCTCCGCGTTCAATAGGGCAAGCTAGGTACGCTCGAGCATCACTCACTTCTTGAGTAAGAACTTGATACACCTTCATTCGAGAAGCATCACTCATGCCATAAACCTTCCCAATCTCCTCAAATAATTGTTCATCTGCATAGTTTTAAAGGTTTACCATGATCAAATGCTGTTGCAACTGCATCTAGACCCTCCTTAATTGACCTTATTTCCTCACAAGCATAAGCGTTTGATTAGGACATATCTTTCATAATCTCCTTGTTCTGAAATTGACTTCCTTATATGATCACGACAATGAAGAATTGAGACAAGGTTGACAACATATGAAGCATACATAGCTACACAAGTGGCTACCCACTTTCTATACTTTTCCCATTCCTCTTGATCATGAATCTACAATTTTTTAAAATAAAAAAATCATATCCGCTTGTTAATAATGTTTCCATGTTGCAATGATACATCAAAAAGTTCTTAGTCCAAAATTGAAATGATTCATAAAAAAGTTCATAGACTAGACAACACTCAAATGACAACCCATTTGGGTACAATGCTTCAAACATGTTTTCCCAATCAACTAATTTAAGGCGCAATAGAGTCTACCCCCTTTAATTTAAATAATACTAAAATAAATACTATGCTTGAAGTTAACATGTACCAAATAATAGGACTGTTTCCATCCTACACCACTTCTACTCTCCTACAAATTCATCTAAGATGATCTATACTCATATTACCCAAAACTAATTTAATCCAATGCAAAAGACCATCCAAAAGCTCACGTTTCAAATAAACATTGGGTAAATTACAAATACATCCCTAAAGTTTACTTAAATTACAAATTACCCCCTGTGGTTCTAGAAACTACATTATGCCCCATATCATAACAAATAGGTCCTTTTATTAATAAATCATCAAGTTAATTAATAGTTTTTAATAATATTAAAATTTTATTTTAATTAATAATTTAGATAATTTTATTATTGTATAGGTGAATGGTTAGAAATTTCACTTTTTCAATTAATTCTGTTAAATAAAAAATTCTGACAGGGAGATAGCTGTAATTTTCCAAACCACAGGAGGCAATTCATATTTTAATCAAACCTCAGAGGGTATATTTGTAATTTACCTATAAACATTCAATCAAACATTTCACGAGAATGAAAGGGTTAATTTATAAAGCTTGAAATCATGAAAAAACACAAAATAAAAGAAAGTGAAATAAACCAAATAGGCACACATCTATAAACTATAACAAGCAAATTGTTATAGCAAACAAACATATAAACAGATAAAATAAAACAAACAGCAAATGTAAAACCAATTTAATCTCATTAAAGTGATGAGAAGTGAAATGAAGATATTAAATCATTAAACTACTTAGAAAACAAACAGGGTTTCTGCAATTTCACTTCAAAGCAAAATTGCAAAGCTTGAACATAGATAAACAAATCCATGTATCTATAATCTCTGATTCATAATAAAAACATATATAGGTGTGTGTATGTATGGAATTTTCAATATAGATTTGAGTTCGACGAGAGAAGAAGAGAAAACGAAAGAGAGGCACAAATACCTGATCGAAATTTTCGGGCAATGAATTATTAATCGAGTTCAGTGATTGAAGAGAGGCACAAATACTTGATCCCCTATTGGAAGGGCTTACTGAATGATGCTGCGAATCAGAGATTGCTACCAGAGTTAGATCTGCAATTTCACTTCGAAGCAAAATTGCAAAGCAGCTTGAACATAAATAAACAAATCCATGGAAATCAATATGGATCTGAGTTTGATGAGAATGTAAGAGAAAATGAAAGAGGAGCACAAATACCTGATCGAAAATTTCAGGCAATGAAAAGATTACCAATTGAAGCAAATGATGATCGCTGATTGGAAGGGTTTGCTGAACGATGCTGCTAATCAGAGTTTGCTATCGGAGTTAGATCTTCAAAACTCGTTGGTGGTGGTTTTTTGAAGCTACTCATGAATGGTGTCCTACGAGAAGCCATGAACAATGAAACTCTCTCTTCCCAATAAATTTTTCCTCCTAGTTTTTCCGGGTCTTTTCTCACAAATATAAAAGGAATTGAGGTTCTAAAAGGTCCTCCTATTTCTTAATTTATTTCCTACTTTTCTTTTCCCATATGTTTTCTATTATAACCCAATATAAATAGGATTGCATTTGCCTTTCCTTTTCCAAATCTCTTCTCAAATTCTCCAATCAAACATAGCGTAAGAACAGTGAGTTCCTCCTCCTCCTCTTCTTCGCCGCTGTAAATTTGAAATTTTTAAATCTAGGTTTGCGGCGATGAAGAGGAGGAAGAAAAAGAAGAAAAAGTGAAGAAGACAAAATAAGAGGTGATGGGCTGGAATTTCAGAACTGCTTTTTTTGTTTTGTTTTTTTGTTTTTTTTTTTTTGTGTGCGCGTGTGCGCGTGCTGGTGGGTGGAGAAGGGTCACTGGTGGGGCAAGTAAGGGTTGATAGGGAATGTTGCGGTTTGCCGGAGGTCACCAGTGGGGCAGGTGGGCGTGTTGCTGGGGAGTTTGTCCCAACCCACCATCTCTTCTTTATTCTTTTCCTCCTCTTCTTCTTCCTTTGAAAATTTCAGATCTGAAATTATTTTTTTAATTTTTATTTATTTTTTTATTTTTTTTGTGCCAGTGGGGCGGGAAGTTGTTAGGAAGTTTTGCAGGTTTAATCAGAAGTTGCTGGAGTTGGTTGCTTCTTGCTTCTGCTTTAGAATATCTCCAGTTTTTATTTTATTTACTGGTTTTTTTTCAAAACGACGTCGTTCTGAAGCACTACATAGCTAGCTTTACAGAAAAGCTTCACTCTAAAGTTGATATGCCAGCATTAGCCCCAATTAATGTTGGTTCATTGTGGAAGGACATTCTTACTCAATCCGGTATGATTGAGAAGCATATGAATTTTGATTATCATCCCCCTGTTATGGTTGAGAGTAGAAAAAATGTTGAATAAGAAGGCTGTTTGAAATAGAAAGATTATTTGGTGAGCAATTTCCTGGATAAGAAGTTACCCTTTACTGTTGTTAGGAATACAGCTCAGAAGATTTGGGGCAAATTTGGGCTATTAGAAAAGGAAAAGAAAAAGAAAAAACGAAATAAATTTCAGTTTAACAAATACAGCATTGTGACATGCACTGCACAGCAATATCCAATGATGAATTGAATGCAGGTTCTCAATGGCAGGAACATTTGATCTTAACAAAGGTCCAAGAAAGATACGAAAAACACATAAGATGTCTAAAAGACAAAGTAATTAGGGCAATATTTCCTTAATTAACAACAAATTCAATAGCTTGAATTTCTCACCTGTTCCATACAAGGAAGATCGCAAGTTAAAGAAAATCCAGTCAGTAGCACTATTATAGTAATCATATACAAAAAACCAAATACTTGTAAAAGTACACAACTAAGGCAACAGAGATTCTCAACATATATGACCAATTTTCAAGCCTGAACGAGCAAGAGCTCTGATTGTAGACTGAGCACCTGGTCCAGGGATCTTAGTTTTGTTCCCTCATGTAGCCTGGAGCTTGAAACATTATATAATTCAGCATATAAAAATTAAGGGGGGAAAGACCCAAGACATTGCATTGGTATGCAACATCTTGTGTTGCAAGCATGGTAGCATTCGGTGAAGATTCATCCATGTCAGCCTTCATCTTCATACTACCTGACCTGGAGAAAAGGCAAAAACATGTCACAGAACAGAGGATAAATAGTAAAAAGAATGAAGAAAGCTTTCAATATACAACACACATCTGGTTACAATTGCAAGTGATCGGCTTATAGTCTGATTGTTACTTTTTCTTTTTTGGGTACTTCAGAAATGTACGTCTGATTGTTACTTACATAGTAATATTATGTAGACAATTAGGAACAACATGAAAACAAAAGAAGCATAGACACACACAAGCCTGTGTAATGCATGCAAAAAACTTAAACATGTCACCAACCATTGCCCATGACGCAAGCCTGCATAATGTGTGCATAAATTTTAAACTGGTCACCGACCATTGCCCATGACTAGAGAAAAAATACTTGATGGATATACCTTGAACAACCTAGAAAGGGGCTGTTTCCACTGAACCTGTAGTTGATTGGAGTTTTGGATCATGGGTGAGGTGGATAATGGTTGGCCATGGATGCAGTCTTGCCACAAAGGCCATGTGCAGTATTTATGGGGGTCTCAATTAGAGAAATCTTTTCCTGCAAACAAGTATTGCTGCATTATTATTATTATTATTTGTTAAAAATAAATTATTCTCCGAGAATATGTAATTTACAGAATATAAAAACATATATTACAGACAGATTAACAAACAGAAATAGATCATGTAGTTTTTCCCTTAACAGAATAATAAATAAAATACAGAACTTACAACTTTCTTGAGTATCAAACTTAGAACCAATTCTGTGATTGAGGCCAGTGTTTGAACACTGTGTCTTTAAGACAGAAATTCGTCCTCTCCTAGGTGCTCGAGAATAACGGACGTCCTGCCTCCAGGATTCAACAATCACCCCAAACAGATGCAGCACTGCAAACTGAATGTACAGCGAACCAGAATGTATTATCAAACTCTCACAAGATGCAAAGATGAAGAAGGATCGAAGCAGAGAAAAAGGAGAAGACTGAACACGGGTTTTTAAGTTATATCCCAAAGGAATGGAGGGCTGATATATATAGGCTTTGAGAAGTGCCTATTCCGGAATAGAAGACTGTTGTGAAGAACAGCCACCAAGTTGGAGACGCGACTGTTGGAGAGGAAGAGAAGTTACAACCGAATATTTTTTAAATTCAAAAATTCAGATTTCGAATTTTCCTGCAGAAAATTATTTGAAAAAATTCAAATAATCTTGGTGCAAAAAATAAAGGACGGCCTAGACCCAAACCCACACCCGCGCCCGCCCCGACCCGGCCGGACGGCGGCGGCGGTGGCGCGCGCGTGTGGTGATGGTTTTGGGTTTGTCCATAACTCCTCCTCCTACAAAACTTGGGTACCCCTTGGGGCCCAACCCAAGGTCTCTAACTTAGAGCTTATAAACACTATGAAACTCTTCTAAGTTTCCTATGTGGGACAAGGTTTTGGATACCAACTCAAAGGAACCACACAAAACATTTTTCATGTTTATGAGGCTCACTTCGGTATCAATTTCTCATTCACTCGTAAATGGTTTCGACCACCTGAGTATATATTCTTGTTCACCACATGGCAAGGAACGTATTGCCACTCGGACCCACCCAAACCGAGGTGTGGGACCTACATTAAATAAAGCTTAAAGTTACCGGAAATTAATGGTTATAAACCATTTTTTCTCTAACATTATTATTATTATTCTTTTTGCTTCAGTTGACATGGTGGTTGCTGGTCTAACAAGTATGGACTACGAAGCATGGACCCAAAATTAGTGCAGTGACAGTGTTCGACACGGGGACACGCCGGGAACACGGGGACACGTACGAGATACGCCAAATGGTGTGTCCCTTTAATTTAATGATTTTTTGTAGGGGACATGGCGGGGACTCGCGTGTCCATATGGTGACACGGCATAAGACACGGCTTTCTTTCGCCTCTCTTATTTGGTACTTTTGTGAAGAATATTATTGAATGTTGAATGTTTTCCCTTTCTCGTCTTAGTTCTTATTATCGTTTATTATGACTTTTTTGTGAATGGATGATCTATGAATTTGTTTAAATGTAGTGGTTAGATTTATTGAATTAATGTTACTATGTTAGTATTTGTTAATTTTGATTTAGGATGAATGTAATGTGAATCTACATAACACATAAAAATATATAAAAATAAATAAAATAAAATTCACCATGTCTCCCGCCATGTCCGTGTTCCTATTTTTTGAAAATTGCCGTGTCCGTGTCCGTACTTCACATGATGCGAAACGGACACAACACGGACACGTCAATATGCAAATTTTTAAAATTTGTAGGACATGACATGTGGAAGACACATGCAAAATATATAATTCCATATACATTGAAGTCAAAAGATGATAATTTTTAAAATCTAAATCAGAAGAAAGTGTATAAATTTACATTGTTTTTGTTTTATTATTGAATTCCAAGTTATTTTCTTCAAATTTATAATGTGTTTCATGTGTGCTCAAGTGTTGGGAAGTGTTCGATGAGTGTCGTCTCGTGTCGGACATGATACATTACGTTTTAAAAAGTGTTTGTGCTTCTTGGTTGCTGCTGTATAATGGCTATTGCCAGTGCATTGTACAAACTATTTGGCAGGTTTTCTGGCGATCTTGGTGGTTGGGAGTGATTTTGATCAGGTAATTCACTGGGTTGCAGAGTAGGTGGAGGTCAGTCGGCAAAAAAAGTTTCATTGGGGGCTGTGCCTGTGGGTTTGAAACTGCATGTCAAGAAGCTGCTTCCCATGGTAGTTTAATTTCTATAATTTGAAATTGGGATGTACCAATGTTACATAGATTACGTTTTACCAGCGGTGTCGCAGTAGGCTAACGTGTGGGTTTGGAAAGGAGACACAATGGCCGAATGACCTAGTGCATGTGGCAACATAAGCTACAACCCATGAAGGCTTGGTGTGTGCGTGAAAATGGTAAGGTGGGTTGCATGGTGTTTCACTCGGAGCATGGGGAATAATGGTTTGGGTGTAGTTATAATTCGGTATAGGTTGCATGCTTTGGGGTCATGAGTTTGCATGGAATTGTTGTGGGGAAGGCCAAATTGGCAATCCATGGGGCACAAATTCTCTCTACATAACCAGTGCACAAGAGATGGGCTTGGTTATATTAAAATATTGAACAATGAGATTATTGTGCTGGTCCATTTGTTATATAGCTCATGATGTTATCATCCATTACTGTATATGTAATGGGTTTAATCAAAATATGATGTAAATTGCAATCTCATACTCCATGACCTTGATGATGAGTATATACTATCTCATATGGATAAATTCAAGTCCATATGTTGAGTTTGTATTTTGACACCTTGTTATTTATTGTATCATGCAGGTCATGCTTTGATTTTTGTATAAATTATAAATATGCCTTGAGTTGGGATTGACAGTGGCATGATGGCATGGATGTTGGATTTATTAGTGGTAGGTGGAATGGAGACAGGTATTCAGGCAAGGATTGTTCTTTTATAGGAATATAACAAGCAAAATATACTTGGCCAAGGGTTTACATGCCTGTACGCATACCACGATTGAAGGTATCAGAAATGTGCCGGTCGATGACACCGTGGATGGAAGCTCTAGATACCATGGTTACCCCAGAATAAAATGGATAGGATTGGAGTTTGTCCAGACTTGGACCAGCAGGTGTGGACTAGTGGATGATGAATTATATCATGGCCAAGAACCAACTAAACCAACCTCTTCTAAGGTTTTATCCTAAGAGGGAGGTCATGGGTTCAACTCTCTCTAAGGGGTTGAACTCTCTCCAAGGGGGAGTTGAATTAGGAACCAAGCACTTGGTGCTTTGCAAGGGTAGGAAGGCTAACAACGAATAGCTGACTTTCGCTGATCAAAAAAAAAAATATATACCTTGGCCAAGGGTTTACACATCTGTAGAGGTTTGTTCGTTTACGTAGAACGTGGTAGACAGTACCAAAAACATGTTGGTGGATGGCACCATGGATGGAAGTTTTGAAAGCCATTGGTTTCCTCCATTTGAGAATATGATTGGCATTTGTCCATGGAGATGGACAGGTGATTTATACAAAGAAGATTGTTGATGAGATTCCCTAGAAGAGTAGTTATTTGTGATTTTCTCCATTGTAATTGTGTTATGGAATATCATAGGACGTAGGTCAATGGTATTAACATGACAAATATGGATAACATAAAATATTTAGGTAATTCCTTCCATGGTATATTGATTGAACAAATGGAATGATAAAATATATTGGAAATTTAAAGGAACGATCTACGAGATTAACTGAAAAGAAACTGAAAGTAGAGTTAAACCAATTGAATCAAAACAAAAGCAATCTTATTCTAGTGCTACATTCATTATGCAATGTGGGTACAAAATTGGTTGTCTTTCAACATTCAGCTTAGCTTTATTATGTTCATGGAATTGACAAATTATCTTATGAATTGCATACAATGAATGTGGAATGGATAGTTGTTTATCTTTACTTACCTTAGAGCTTAGTTTATAAATCAAATCCTTTGTCGTTTGGATTAATAATTGACGTGCTGCTGACATGTTCATTTGTTGTTAACACTTTTTAAGTCCTTTATTGCTTCTCATATACTAACATTGCACAATGTCTTCTATGGCACCGGACTTGTTTTGTTTTCAGACTACTGTGAGTTAGACATATACCAGACACCATTTGGCACGTGCCAAACTCACGTCTAATGTGTCCTATTATTTATTAAAAAACAAAAAACAAAAATAGACCCAGCCATGCTTCAGACACACATATTCATTGCTTACGTACATGAAACACATTACAAATTTGAACAAAATAAAAGAACTTAAGATCCTTGATTAAAAATTAAAAAATGTACATTTATACTTACTAATCCCTCCACCTTTAAACTTTAGAAAATAGTACATGTTGTATTTTTTTATTATCTTTGAATATACATATACATGATGTATAATAAAAATATAAGATTACATATTTTGTGTCCCTAAAATGTCAGATGTCAACATGAAGTCTGGATTTGCTGAAGTTGAAGATCTCAACTTCACGGTGAAGGTGACCCATTGTTAAACTAACTTGGACTCACTTGGGTAATCTAAGCCATTCATATTATACAACTAAATAAGAAAATTATCCATGCAAAAAATCAAATTCATCCAACATCAAATGTCATACTGTTAGATCATTTTTATTTATAAGGCCTACATGTTTTTAAGAATAGACCATTCATTTATTATAATATGTTTGTGATTTGATCATGTGATTACTTATGTTTGATTAACTTAATTTTTTGCATAAATGTTCTTCTCAATTTATCATATGAGGTAAACGGTTCAGATCATTGACATGAGTACAGATTAGTCTCACAGTGCACCACCTTCACCTGTGACATTGAGATCTTCAATTTTAACAAATCCAAACTCGTCAACGTGTCCATGCGATGTGAGACATGTTTGCATCAATTTTAACACGGAGATTTTATTTACAATTTTACAATTTTGTCTTTAGCATTTTAGTATTTCATTTATTTTGTTTTTAATTATATTTTAATTAAGAATTTATTGATATTTATTTATTTTTTATTTTGTTAGGACTTAGTTTCCTATTTTGATTAGGGCTTTTAGACTATATATATATATATATATAATATTTTGGTATTGTATTATTCAGCTTGGGATTATTAAATTGAGTGTTACTGTTGTGGCATTGTGTAAGGATTGCGGCCCTTGTTCTTCTTCTCTCTTCTATTTCCCCACAAAGTTCTACATAAAGCAAAAAAAACATTCAAAAAATCAAAATCATCAAGGTGTTACTGTTGCCTACCATAACACGATCCTAGTTGTGTTCATCCACCAAAGTCAGTCACAAGAGGCCTAGGATGTCAACCACAACGATCGTAGAAGACAACGTCATGTTGAGACTCTCGCCATCAGTATCAACTCGTTGGAGCCAATTCTTCCAGGTATCATCGACTTCTTTTCCCCTTCCCTATATTGTCTTTGTCAGAGCTGCCATGCATAAGGAAACTTTGTGCTTTGAGCTATGACCTTCAAAGAAGATGATTGAATAATCCTACCCAACCAACGTCGCAACCCAATGCCATCTCGTTGACTCTCACCATCAATGTTGCTATGTACCAACAGTCCCCTCCATCTTCAATTGTTGTATCCTTCCCTCTCATTGCAGTCAACAACTCACCAAAGCTTCCGCAATTCATAGACGTTAGTTCGCACTTGGACAACCCCTCGTGAGGAAAAAAACAACGAACCAACAGGTAGGTAACCTTGTAACCCTTTTCATCCTTCAGTCTGTACTCAATATTTCACTCGACCAATATTACCTAAAACCCATCCCACCCATAACACAAACCCAACCCAATAATTTTAAAGCAATTAAAAATAAACGATCCATCTTTCATTAAAACATCGCTGCAACCCAGTTAGTCCACACTCGCATAACCAAAATCCAGCTCAATTCCAAACCCCAAACCGCCAGTCCCAAAAAATAATAATAATGGCCGTGTAAAAACAATCTTTATTGCCATATTATTTTAACTATGGAGACGAATTCAAAGTTATTTTAATAGTTTGAAAAAATACTTAGGAGGAGATGATAGTAGTGCAAATTCGTTAGATCCGAGTAATTTTGGACAAATTATTGACCTATATTTTAAGGGATACTTTCGAAACTTCTTGAAGTGATTGTGAAAATCAGCTGACAATTGTTGATCAACCAATTTCAAAGTATTAAGGAACGTGACATTATTTTGGAAAATATTTTGGAGTAAGTCTAAGAAACCAAGCTGAAGGAAAAGAAAATCCCACATGCAACATAATTTTTCCAAAAGGAGAGCATCCTATTGCACCGTCACCAACCAATTCTTTGATAAAGTTAGGCGGACTGATTTTATTGGTATTGAAGATTTGTTTGGCATGTTCAATCCATTTTGGTGGACCTCTAACAATATTGATCAATTGAACCATGAAGAAAATCAAGCAGCTAGCCTATTAGTATTTGATTTGCGGGTGTGAAAGAGTTCTTTTCCACAGTAAGGGAGAATGATATTGGACGTCTCACCAATTTTAGCATTGAAATCTTATTTACAATTTAATAAATTTTTCTTTAGTATTTTCGCATTTTTTGTTTTTAATTATAGTTTAATTAGGAGTTTATTAATATTTCATTTAATATTTATTTTCTTACTTTGTTAGGATTTATTTCTTTTTTTAATTAGGGTTTTTAGTCTATATCTATATAACTTAACTATAGTTTGCTTTCTAATACGGGTTTTTAGCCTATATATATCACTATATAACTTAACTAGAGACTGCTCTCTGAGAAGTAGTGCTATGAGGAGGCTCTGCATGCATATATCCATAAGTAACTTGGTGCAACATGACAAATTTCATTAAGAGTGTTAACATATGAATATCATATATATGAATATAATACTATATATGTCAGTATGTATAGATAGTATTAATATAATATGTATATATAATATACAACGATAGCTTTAGGTTGCTTTGCTTTAGGATTGCTTTCGGTCGCCACTAACTTTCGGCGTCGCTTTTCTTATTTTATTAATTTACATCATCATGATGTCTTGTATCCGAGCTCCTATATTAAGGAGTCTCTATTGTGTTTCTAATATAGAGTTAACATAACAGAAATATTACTCTCTCAACTCTCTCAATTTCTCTTTCATGGTATCAGAGCACAGGTGCTTTTCCTAAGTCTCTGCATCACATATTTTGTTCTGTCACAGATTGCTGCGTATCTTGTCCTTACCTAATACACAGATTGGACAATACCACCACCTTCGTCTCTTCACGACGAAGCCAACGCCACCAGATTCATCATCATCTGCCGCCGCACGCGCCTCCACGCGCCGCCAGAACATTCGGCCACGCGCTCACTCGGTTCAAACGCGCTCTACGCGCTGCCTACGCGTTGCCTACACTGCACGGTGCTATTGTGCGCCCCAGCATCATCTGCTAACGTGAGCCGCGTGTTTCTGACGTCAGCTGACGTCAGCCCTAGCTGCTTCCGTGCGCCGTGTGTCTCTCACCTGCTAACGTGCGCCGCGCCACACTCTGCTAACGTGCGCCGCGCCCTGTGACATCAGCCCTGCATCACCTGTTTGACCAGCTTCGTTGACTTTTCTACTTTCTGCCTTTCTGGTCATATTTTTTGGTCAGTTCACTCCTTTTCTGACTAATTTCGACCTTCTGAATTCACTGGTAACCTCAGTTTTTTCAGATTCTACCTCATTTGTACTATTTTTCTCTTATGGATCGCCTGGACTCCACTACTCATCCTATTTCCGCTATTCTTGACGGGACTAATTATGTCCTATGGGCACAAGCTATGTCTGGCTTCCTCAAAGGAAAGAAACTTTGGCGCATCATTACTGGGGATGTGTGCAAACCAGTTCCAGAGACCACAGATTCCACTGCCACGGACTCCACTGCCAAATATATCGACCGACTGGAAGATTGGGATAGTAAAAACTATCAGATCATCACTTGGTTTCGCAATACTTCTATTACATCTATCAGCCTTCAGTTTGGTCGGTTCCAACTTGACTCTGCTTCCTCTCCTGCCAAAGCCATCTGGGATTTTTTACAAGAACGCTATCAGACTACTGGCCTTGCTCACCAATATCAGCTTCTGAGTCATCTTCACGGTATGCGCCAAGAAACCACTCAAACCATTAATGATTTTCTCTCCCAAATGTATTATGCTTGGGATCAGCTTGCTCTTTCTGAACCTCCATGGGACTGTACTAAGGATGCTACCATGTTTACTACTTACCGTGACCAACAGCGCTTGGTTCAGTTTCTCATGGCTCTCACTCCTCGATTTGAGCCAGTACGCGCATCTCTCCTTCATCGAACTCCTTTACCCACTCTTGAGCAAGCAATTTCAGAACTATTGTCCGAGGAAACTAGATTTGGTACTCTCCATCCGCACCCTGTGGACTCTGTTCTTGCCACTCCACAGATTCGGAGCTCTCCCTCCTCACCTTCACCACAGAGGTCCAATGCCTGCAATTACTGTCACAACCGCAATCTTCCATCGACTCATCTTCTGGTTAATTGTCCAGTTCGTCTTTGTCGGTTTTGCAACAAGACTGGCCCTGGTCATCTCCAGCAAGATTGCTTCCGCAATCCCGCCCGTGCCTCTCGCAATGGTCCTTCCACCAGGAATTTTTCTCGCAACCACTCTCACCGTTCTGGGACTCCGTTTAAACCAATACCTGCTCAACGCACTACTGCTGCTGCCTCCGAGGATTTACCTTCCTCTGTTCCTATAGACCCTTCCACTCCAGTCTTCTCTCAAACCGATGTCACAGCCATGTTTCAACATTTTTTGCAGAATTCCGGTACTCCTCCATCTACTGCTTTATCTGTCACCGCAGGTAACACTTCTTGGTACTTTGACTCCGCTTGTTGTAATCACATGACCTTTGACCCCACTATTTTTACTCCTCTCTCTTCTCCTCCTTTTGTTCCTTCTATCCATACTGCTGATGGGTCTCTTCTGTCTGTAAGTCATGTTGGTTCTGTTTCAACCTCTCACTTATCTTTATCACATGTCTATCTTATGCCTGCTCTTACTTTAAATCTTATTTCCATTAGTCAATTATGTGAGCATGGTCTAACTGTTACCTTTTCCCGTACTGGTTGTTTGGTGCAGGGCCCTCGGACGGGGCAAACTCTTGGGATAGGCCGTAAGCATGGACGTCTCTACGAACTCATCCATCTTCATGTTCCAGATTTCTCTCAGATCACAGCTCCTACCACTACTACCACTGCTACCACTGCTCCTCCTTTATCTCCTTTTCAGCTTTGGCATTGTCGTTTAGGCCATCTTTCTGTTGGTCGTTTAAAATCTCTAATTTCCAGTGGTCATTTAGGTCATGTAAGTTCTGATGTTTTAGATTGTGTGTCCTGTCAACTTGCCAAATAACCTGCTTTGTCGTTTAATAAAAGTGACTCTGTTTCTCTTGCACCATTTGATCTCATTCATTCTGATATTTGGGGACCTTCTCCTACTCCTACTATGGAAGGCGCGCGCTATTTTGTTGTTTTTATAGATGATTTTTCCCGTTTTACCTGGTTGTTTCTTATGAAAAATCGCTCTGAGCTCAAACAACTTTATTACAATTTTGCTACAATGGTTAAAACACAATTTTCTAAAAATATTAAGCTTTTTCGCTCCGACAATGCCATGGAATATAAAGATTTTGACTTTCTTTCCTTTCTTCAGAGTCATGGTACTCAACCTCATCGTTCCTGTCCCGGCACGTCTCAACAAAATGGACGTGCTGAACGGAAACATCGACATATCCTTGACACTACTCGAGCTCTCCTACTGTCTTCCTCTTGTCCGGAACATTTTTGGGGAGAGGCAGCTCTCACTGCTGCTTACACTATCAATTGTATCCCAACACCTGTCATTCACAATCACACTCCTTATGAGCGTCTACATGGCACCCGTCCTCCTTACACCAACCTTAGGGTCTTTGGATCTGCCTGTTTTGTTCTTCTCCAACCTCATGAACGTACCAAACTTGAACCACGTTCTCGCCTTTGTTGCTTCTTAGGGTATGGTATTGAACACAAGGGGTATCGTTGTTGGGACCCTCTCTCCCAGCGCCTCCGTATCTCTCGTCATGTAGTCTTTTGGGAACACAAAATGTTCTCCTCTCTCTCTCTCTTCCGTTTGTCCGTTCCCTCACCCTCTATGTTTTTTACTGACCCTTCCACAGATCTGTTCTCTGATGAGCTAACTCATTTATTGATATTTATTTATTTTTTATTTTGTTAGGACTTAGTTTCCTATTTTGATTAGGGCTTTTAGAAAATATATATATATATATATAATATTTTGGTATTGTATTATTCAGCTTGGGATTATTAAATTGAGTGTTACTGTTGTGGCATTGTGTAAGGATTGCGGCCCTTGTTCTTCTTCTCTCTTCTATTATACGTAACGTTTCTACATAAAGCAAAAAAAAACATTCAAAAAATCAAAATCATCAAGGTGTTACTGTTGCCTACCATAACACGATCCTAGTTGTGTTCATCCACCAAAGTCAGTCACAAGAGGCCTAGGATGTCAACCACAACGATCGTAGAAGACAACGTCATGTTGAGACTCTCGCCATCAGTATCAACTCGTTGGAGCCAATTCTTCCAGGTATCATCGACTTCTTTTCCCCTTCCCTATATTGTCTTTGTCAGAGCTGCCATGCATAAGGAAACTTTGTGCTTTGAGCTATGACCTTCAAAGAAGATGATTGAATAATCCTACCCAACCAACGTCGCAACCCAATGCCATCTCGTTGACTCTCACCATCAATGTTGCTATGTACCAACAGTCCCCTCCATCTTCAATTGTTGTATCCTTCCCTCTCATTGCAGTCAACAACTCACCAAAGCTTCCGCAATTCATAGACGTTAGTTCGCACTTGGACAACCCCTCGTGAGGAAAAAAACAACGAACCAACAGGTAGGTAACCTTGTAACCCTTTTCATCCTTCAGTCTGTACTCAATATGTCACTCGACCAGTATTACCTAAAACCCATCCCACCCATAACACAAACCCAACCCAAAAATTTTAAAGCAATTAAAAATAAACGATCCATCTTTCATTAAAACATCGCTGCAACCCAGTTAGTCCACACTCGCATAACCAAAATCCAGCTCAATTCCAAACCCCAAACAGCCAGTCCCAAAAAATAATAATAATGGCCGTGTAAAAACAATCTTTATTGCCATATTATTTTAACTATGGAGACCAATTCAAAGTTATTTTAATAGTTTGAAAAAATACTTAGGAGGAGATGATAGTAGTGCAAATTCGTTAGATCCGAGTAATTTTGGACAAATTATTGACCTATATTTTAAGGGATACTTTCGAAACTTCTTGAAGTGATTGTGAAAATCAGCTGACAATTGTTGATCAACCAATTTCAAAGTATTAAGGAACGTGACATTATTTTGGAAAATATTTTGGAGTAAGTCTAAGAAACCAAGCTGAAGGAAAAGAAAATCCCACATGCAACATAATTTTTCCAAAAGGAGAGCATCCTATTGCACCGTCACCAACCGATTCTTTGATAAAGTTAGGCGGACTGATTTTATTGGTATTGAAGATTTGTTTGGCATGTCCAATCCATATTTGGTGGACCTTGACAACAGCCTAACAATATTGATCAATTGAACCATGAAGAAAATCAAGCAGCTAGCCTATTAGTATTTGATTTGCGGGTGTGAAAGAGTTCTTTTCCACAGTAAGGGAGAATGATATTGGACGTCTCACCAATTTTAGCATTGAAATCTTATTTACAATTTAATAAATTTTTCTTTAGTATTTTCGCATTTTTTTTAATTATAGTTTAATTAGGAGTTTATTAATAATATTTATTTTCTTACTTTGTTAGGATTTATTTCTTTTTTTAATTAGGGTTTTTAGCCTATATCTATATAACTTAACTATAGTTTGCTTTCTAATACGGGTTTTTAGCCTATATATATCACTATATAACTTAACTACAGACTGCTCTCTGAGAAGTAGTGCTATGAAGAGGCTCTGCATGCATATATCCATAAGTAACTTGGTGCAACATGGCAAATTTCATTAAGAGGAATGAGCAAAGAAAAGAAAAAGGGGTCAACATCTTACATTTTAGCCTCCACATATATTACATTTTGGCATTATATAATTCAGCTTGGGATTATTAATTAGTTATGAAATACGGACACTTCTAAGAATGTGGCATGTTCATGTTGGATACCGACACTCTTCAGACACTTTCTCGACACTTGTCAGACACTCAACTAGACATGTCCTATTATTTTATAAATTTTTTTACATCTGGACACTTGAGAGACACATGTGTCCATCACTTGGATACACATGAAACTAATTATAAGTTTGAACAAAATAACCTAGGGTTCAAAGATAAAAGAAAATTAATATTTATAAAAAAAAAAAGGATAAAAGAAAATTAATGTAGATTTATCAAAATTAGAATTACATTACATTTTTTTTTTATTATCTTTGAATGAAATCTAAGAAGCATGGATATAGACACGCGATACGACACGACACGACATGGACATGCCGACACGCTAATTTTCAAAATATGCAGGACACGACATGTGAGGGACACACATGAAATATATAATTTTATATATTTATTATATGTTATATATACGAATATATTATTCAAAGATAATAAAAAAATGTCATATTATATGTCATATATATGAATATATCATTCAAAGATAAAAAAAAATGTAATATGACACTAATTCCTATAAATTTATATGATTTTTGTTTTATTATTGTATCTTAAATTGTTTTTGTTCAAACTTATAATTAGTTTCACATGTGTCTAATCGATAGACACGTGTGTTTAAGCGATATACACATGTGTCCTCCAAGTGTCCAAAGAGTGTCCGGACTTTTAAAAAATATTAAAAAACATGACACGCTTTGAAGAATGTCTGACACGTGTCAGGGAAGTGTCCAAAGAGTGTCGGTGTCTGACACGGACACAACACAGATACGTCCCATTCTTAGAAGTGTCCGTACTTTTTAGAATGAAATATTCATATGTATAACATGCAATAAATATATAAAATTATATATTTTGTGCATGTCATCCACATGTTGTGTGACGATCCCAACGTGCATATCATATTTATACTTATTTAATTATGTGTTAATAATTAATTATGATGTGTGTCATGTGATTAATTTGAGTATATCTGTCCGATTTGAAAATTATCTATTGTGATTTTTGTAATGATCCGAAATTGAAGGCCTTGATGGAGTCAGAAACCGAAATTGGCTATATGATAAATTAATTGGAATTTTTAGAACCAATTTGTAAGTTTAATTAAAAATTGATTTAGATTAATTAATTAAGTTGTGTTTAATTAGCTTAATGTTCTAATTGATGTATTACGCTATCCTAGGCATATATAAGTGAGCCATAAGCTCATTTGAGCTCATTCTTGATCATTTTAAGTGCAAAAATCTAAGAGAGAACCCTAGAGAGAGAGAGAAACTTAATTTAGAGAGAGAGAGAGAGAGAGAGAGAGAGAGAAAAGAGCTTGTAGACTTGGAATTTTGCTTAAGGATTGAAGAATTAAGGGAGACAACTCGAGTTTTTGGTAGAATTGTTATTCTTGAAGGCCTTAGGTGAGTTTTTGAACTTTAATTCATGAGTTTAAGTTGACAAATATGTGTATTCAAGAAGTTATGAGATTAATCACAAGAGAATGTCTAAAACATGATGAATTTGAAGTCAATCCATACACGCATGCATGATTTTGAAGAGTTCTATCATTTTTTAATAAAATTTTGCTATCTAAGCTTGAATTGAAGGATATGTCATACATACATACAAGAATTAAGTTGTTATGAAACTAATCTCCATGTTTTATAAGCCTTGGAAAGGAAATTTGAAACTAGATCATACATGCATGCACATAACATAAGAGTGTAGAATCATCATTTTGATCATGGGTTTTAATACCTATGTTGAGTTTAGAAGTTGAATTCTGTATGCATCCATGAATCATGTTGTTTTAGAACTCAATTGCATGTTTTTGAAGCTTTGGAAAAGAGTTGGAAACAATTTTATACATGCATGAAGGTTTTGAGTTCAATTTTGGTAAATTCATGAGGTTTTGAGAAAATAATTTATGAATGATCATGTATTTGAGTTTTCTAAAATGTTTTTATAATTATCAAAGTGTTTTTATGAGTTTGGAATAACCATGCAAGCTTTTACATGTTATAATGCATTTTTGGAGCTCAAATTCTCTTCTAGAAAATCTAGAAATTCTGCAGACCGCTCGAGCTACCAAGTGGTGGCTTGAGTGAACATTGCGAGCTCCCAGTACTTTCATAGTCTGCATAGTTGGCTCGAGCAAACTGAGTATGTGTATTGAGATCGCTCTAGCGACCAAAAGTTGGCTCCAGCCACCAACTTATTTTTAGCATGTTTTCAAAAGATGTTTTGAGTTCATATCTTCATTCCCATCTCTTTCCGGGCATTCTTAGGCATGAATTATGACTAATTAAGGATTAATAAACTAAGAAACAACATAAGTAAATGATTAGAAAAGAGAAGAAAGATTAATTCGGTTTGAACATTGCGTTTCAATATGTGTATGGTTATGCATAATGTGTAGGTTTGAACGTTGAAGAGGACCATCAGATTAATCAAGGTGAGTAATATCTTAGTAAATATATTTTATTATATGCTATTTTCTTAACGCTTTTATGGTAAGTCTTAGAACTTACGATTTCTAAAATATGAATAAGACTTCGAATGTTTCAATGTGATTTTGAATTTGACTTGACAAAGATTAAAACATGATGGACCCAATGTCGTTTTGTAAATGATAAACCCAAGGTCGTTTTGCATAAGATGGACCCAAGCTTGTTTTGTAAATAATGGACCCAAAGTCGTTTTGCATAAGATGGACCCAATGTCGTTTTGTAAATGATGGACCCAAGGTTGTTTTGCATAAGATGGACCCAAGGTCATTTTGCATATAATGGACCCAAGGTCGTTTTATTTGAAGTTGATATGAATAGAAGGGTATTTCAATTGTTTAAATTATAAGTATGATTTATTTATGTACGAATCTCATTCATTATCCTCTTTACTTTGATATTATTCAAAAGACTTTCGCTCATTCCGTTATATATATATGTAGGTGAGCAGTGGGATGTCCAGCCCTAGTGAACCTGTGAAAGAATTAACGAGTTTTGTGGAGTCATCCAAGGATGCCTCACGCTCAAAGCTTTTATCTATGATCTTTTGTCCTTTGTTTTGTCGGCCATATTTGACTTTATTTTTGTATCTACTACATTTACCTCCTTTGAGTTTGTTATGCAATGACTCGTACTTGTGAATGACTCCAGGACATATATGTTATCTATGTGTTTGCATACGGATGTGAGTTATTAACGTATGAATATTCTATTTACTTCATATATGCACTATTCATTGGACAAAATTTGTAAGTCTGCTTCCGTTTCTGGCCCCATTACTAATTAAATATTTTGTTAATTCTAATTTTGAGGCTGGGTAATCTGGGATTACTAGCCGGTCATGGCTTAAACCTTTAGGGGTGGGTCGTGACATGTCATGTCCTATATTTTTTGAAAATTACTATGTCAGTATATCCGTGTCGTGTCCTTGCTATATTGTGTGTTCGTGTTTGTGCTTCTTAGTTAATTAGTATTAAGGTTGTGGTCGTTGTGTTAGGGTTGTTACCTAAGAAGGATGGATATGGATACAAACACGGTGATTTCAAAACAAATGGGGACACTGACACGGCAGAGACATGGTAATAAAAAAAAATCATATATTTTTATTTGCTTCATAGATTAATATTACATCCACAAACAACCAAAATTAACAAAATTAACACTAATTCAATATTTAAAATAAATAAATAAACAACACTTTTAAGTTAAACACTTATTGTTTGTCTTTTTTTTATGAATGATCTAATAAGTATTTAATCTAAGCAAAAAGTAATAAATATCCAACATCCATCAAAAGCACTTAAAAAAAAATAAAAAAATAAAAAACTAGTTGGTGTGTTCCTAAAGTGTCACTGGCGTGTCCCCAACATGTCCCTTGAAAAAAAATAATTAAATAAAGGGACACGTCGCATGACGTGTCCCATACATGTCCGCACCGTGCCCCTGTGTCCAAAAACCCCTATGACACTTGTTTTGAAGTATCGGTGATTCATAGGTTGTTACCCTTATCTTCTCTTTCCTTGCAGTGCTTTTTGTCATAGTGTCTGTATTCGTGCTTCTTAGCTTGTTCCCGTTCCTTTTCTCCCTGTTTCTACCCACTCTCTGTTCTACCTATCAAAGCCCCAAATGCATTCCATAACCCCAAACTGCCATAAATTCACAGGCTACAGGTACACTATACAATGTCTCCTTGTTCTCTCTTGGATAATTTTTCCTTTCCTAGCAAGACATGAAAGGGACTTACAATTTGATATTGTTAAAATGATAAAAATCCAATAAAGAATGTTAATAATTATTAGAATTCTGAAAACTGAGATATTCCTAACCAAGAAAAATCCAAATAAAATTAATAAATAGGTTTTTAAGTTTTAGCTCATTTGGCTCACACAATTCAAAAGCAAATGGACAATCAATCTTTTATGCAAGTACTAAGAATGAATGACTATCCTATCCAAGACTCTTTAAATGAGCAACGGTCAAAGAATTGTACATTCCCAACAAAACATAAATCAATTGAGAAGATCATAGAAGTGAAAAGATTCCCCCAAAAATCAACAAATCTAAACATTTATTTCCTTTTGGCTAAATGGAAAAATTGCAGCATACAACAGTGTCAAAGGTAGAAAGAAGGGAGAAAAAAGAAAAAGGAAACAAGAGGTTACAAGTTGGTAGTTAATCATTTCAGACAAAATAAATATTAGGGGTTGTTTGGGATGATCTAAATAAGTGCACTTTTTGACTTTTTATGAAATATGGGTTGTGTTTGAAGTGATGTGTTAGAGAAGTGATGTGACTTAAATAAGATGATGTGACTTAAATAGAATAGGGACTTTTTAACTTTTTGTCTTTTTTCAAGTATGCCAAACTTGGCCTTAATGTGATGGGAAAGACCTACCATATGGTGTTCCATTCTACATTTCCATTGCATATCTTCTGCCCATTTGGTCCTCCTTCCATATGTTCTGGATGAATTAGTGCATGGAAGATCATAAGACCTGAACTATGAAACAAATACTTGGTATAGACTTGATGACAAGTTATGTGTGAATGAGCACAGCAAAATAAATTCTTTTTCTTTTTTTTTTTTTTTTTTTTCAGCAAAGCAATTGACATATGCAAACGGTAACCATATGGACGTAATTTTTAGAAGGAATTCACCTACTTGTGGTGTAGGCATAGAACTCAGTTATTGCTGCAGGCCCATAGATCGCTTGTTGATCTAAAAGCCTAAGCAGTTAAGAGCTGACATATCATCAGTAAGCAACTGGTTAGAGTATATGCACACAAATCATTACCCAAAATGCACTCATCAGTAATTCCAAAACAATTGGTTACTCCGATACTTCTTCTTGAGATAGGTTGAGATCAGCTCCTTATAAGTCCAGTTCTTCCTTTTAAACTCCAAAAATGCCTCTGAGCTTGAGTGAAAGCCTCCTTTTCCCAAAACCTCAAAAACAAATGGATCCGTAAATACCTGTGGAGAAGCATGTACATTCATTTTACTTAAAGCAAAGTCCAAATTCATTCCCAGTCTTTTGTCCAAGTAAGCATCAACAATGCAACCATAAGTCACAAGATCAGGGACAACTTGTTCATGCTTCATATGTTCAATGCTTAAATGGAGATCCCAAAACAAAGACATTTTTGAAAAAGCTAGAGCTCGAATGTTAAATGTTGTAAGATCAGGATGGAATCCGGCTTCCACCATTCTCAAAAATTCTCTCTGCAAGGTTTTCATTTTGAAATTCGCAGCATATGATAGAAGCAGAAGATTCCACAGAAGATTTCCCACGTTTCTCCTACCAAGACCCACATCCCTCAGAAACTCACCTAATCTATAAAATTTCTTTTCCTTTATGTAGGCAAATGACATTGCCCTTATTCCGTCTTTTTCTATGAGAATTCTAGACCTTTTAAGACGGCCATATGCAGCTTCAATCTCAGTCAGAGAACCAAACAAGCTGTAATATATGATATAAGCATTTCCGATGGCAGAATCTACTGAGAAACCCCTTGAACCCATCTCTCTAAGTGTATTTTCCATCAGCTCAAGCTGTCCTTGCTTTCCAAAGCAAGAGAGAGCCACTACATAAATCTCAGGTAGCAAGTTAGAGTCTCTCAAACTTGCTTGATGCAGAATTCTGGTCACATCATCAAAACGTCCCATCCTACCATAGGCTTCAATGAGTTTTGAAATTATATGAATATTAGGCCTAAAAGAACTGTTTAAAACTTCATCCCAAATTGCCTGTGCTTCGTGGAAAAGACCATTATCAGCATAGCAAAGCATCAGAGCTGACAAGGCAGAGTTGTCAAGTGGAAGACTTCCAGAATTGATCTCATGTAAAATCTCCTGAGCAACATGAGGTAAGTTTTTTCTTCTTAAGGTTTGAACCAATGCAACCAAATCCACATTAATGTTGTGATCGACACTTAGTTCCCGCTTCCAGTGTATCTATCTCAAGCACACAAGAAAAGGAAAAAGATCATTATGTGAGAGAGAGAGAGAGAGAGAGAAGCTAATTATAGTTGATGCCCATTACGAAAAGTTTACAAATTTGCATAACAGAGACAACACAAAAATACCATCAGCATTGGGCCCGCCCCAGTAAAATGAATGACTGAATTTTCATATCATACATCAAGATAAAATATGAAAGTTCTATAAGAACACATTTAGATAAGACGGTAAACATAAAACAATTTTCCATAGATCAATGGTTATCTAATTAATAGAGGTTTAGCACATGTAGTTGAATCAAGAGATTGTTAGAAAGAAAAAAGAAACTCTACATATTACTCAATTTCCATATGTGAAAAAAGGATAGACAGTTAGGCTATCCTGGAAGACTGTAACTAGAAAAATGGCTTCATTCAAATTAGCATAACAGAGACAACATGAAAATACAGAGACAACATGAAAATACCATCAGCATTGGGCCCACCCCAGTAAAATGAATGACTGAATTTTCATTTCATACATCAAGATAAAATATGAAAGTTCTATAAGAACACATTTAGATAAGACGGTAAACATAAAAATGGCTTCATTCAAATTGGACATAGCATAATAGTATTGAGTGAGAGTGCTACAGTGTAACAGTGCAAGCTGAAAATTCAGGTGCTCTGTTTTTGTTTTTGGTTTCGTTTTTTTCTTTTTCTTTTTATAAAGATGCAAGATATCAGTAAAGCTCTCCTTTAAACTGCATGAAGAAAATCTGATCACGGCTATTTCTTGACAGAATCCAAACACAGAAAAAGCAGCAGATGTTTACGATTCGATATATGTGGAACAAGAATCTAATGGCCCCAGGTTTTGCAAGGAAGTCTGGATTTGGAATGCAAGGACATCACTAGGAAGGATTCCCATTAGCCGTTTTGGAATGAAACTGAATTCCTCTCCTCCAAATGTTAACGTTCATTTAAAAGACAAAAGCGGAGGACCTCCCCCTCTCTAGAAAAGAATGCATTTATGATCAAAGCAAATCTTGGAAGCAAAGTACCAAACTCTCCTTCAATCAATTTTTGAAGGCCAATGGTTGTCAAATCGGAATACGAATCGTGTATCGTTTTTTATTTTTCTAAATCGCTTACCGTACCTTATCACGTATCGTAAGATACTTCAACACCTTTAAAAATAGGTAGAAAAATACATATAATTATAAATAAAAAAAATATATCCTGCGAGAATGAAACACTAAACAATGTATAATTCTTTAAATTACATAAGCAAATTACCTTAAATTAAATATACACATATACATATTGTCTTCGCAAGGCATAAATTAATAACACAAGATACTTAACACCATACAATAGATATGTCAGAAAGGTCGAGAAATAAAATAAAAGAGTACCATGACATCTCAAAAACACTTTTTTTTAATAAGTTAATGAAAAAAATTTACTATTAATTTACATAAAATAATTTGAATAATGTTTTTTCAAAATTGCTAAAGAAATTTAAGTATTTATGTAACATACGTATCGCATTATGTATCACATATCCTATATTGCATCACGTATTGTATATGTATCGTAAGATACATTTAATTTAAGATACGTATTGATGATAGCATTGAATTACCTCTAAAAAGTATTGAATCATAAGATACGTATCGTGAATCGTAAGATACTAACAACACTCATGACTCTAGAGCTTTTTGTCAAATGCCCTTCTTCAGATAAGATTACTTGCCACTACCCTAAACAAACTACAGGTGTTCTTGGTCAAATCAGCCTACTTAGCTGACCAGGCTAACAGGTTAACATTGACAACAGTCATTGTAGACACAAATTTTGAAATGTGCCCAGACCAGGCTAACAGGTTAACATTGACAAGAGTCATTGTAGACACAAATTTTGAAATGTGCCAACAGTCATTCTTCACCATGTGGAAAAAGCTTTGGCACTTAAAAACCCATGAACATCATAAGATCTCCTATGCCAATTCTTACCAAGAGTTATTCCAACCAGATCAGTTTTTCTCATCAAGATTGGATATTGAAGAAGCCTGCTGCCCATTTTTTGGTTTTGAAGACAAAACTTCTGAACCCATTTTCTTCTTCAGCACTGCAATAAGATGATTTTTCTCCAAATATTTCTCCTTAGAAATTGGACTCTTGGGTCTTAAAACCACGACAATTATTCAAAGAAGACCCTGATATTAAATTTCATTTCCTATTATTCACTAGCCTGTTTGGATAAGATCTGAAAAAGTTAGACACTACACATTGTAAGCACATTAAGACATCTCCAAAGGACATTAAATCAGATGTGCTGAAAGCGTATTCAGAATTCATGCTTCCCCCAAACTTCAATTTCAAGAAACCCTACTCCTCTCCTTCACTTACTTCCCTACCCCCAATTATGGTTTATCTGACCAGAAGGTCTGCGTAAGTTTAGTTTTGATAGGCATTCCTCATATTTAGCAGTATGTTTTGCCAGACATCATACAGATGAGGTAATTGGGGCCTTAAAATTATTCAAATGGATGTCTGATCCAGATTCTGTAAAATGTTTGGCAGTTAAATTAGCAATGAAGTAAGCAGTTCATACTAACACAGCTGCAGCCTAAATGAAGGCGGACTTGCAATCATATTTGTTGACAGAAGCTAATCATCAGATGCCCCCTGACCAGCACATCTGTCCTATTTGTTGGAATTAGAATTTCATATCATTGTATTTATGGTAGTTTGTATAAAATCAGTAATTGTACAAATCACGGATTCAGTGCCTTGATTAGAATATTTACTAGTTTGTAATATTGATTCAATATATATACATAGTCTTGCCTCATTCAAAGGTAAGCCATTCCATTCTTTCCATTCAATTTGGTATCAGAGCCAAACCCTAGCGTCTCTCTCTCTCTCTCTGTCAGCAACTCCCAGCCACCACCCCGCCACCCGAAAGTTCTCACCCACAAGCCGACACACCTCCTTCTCCCTCATCCACCAGCTGACAGCCCCTCTTCTCTCTTCCTAGGCCCCGACAGCCCTTCTTCCTCCTTCCTAGCCCCTTGGAAGTGCCCAGAAATTCCTGCCGAGGGTCTGTAATTGCTGACCAGACTACTATGTGAGTGGGTATGGTTCGGTTCTCTCCCTAGGGTGATTTACACTCCTTTTTGACCCTTCCTAGGAGTTTGATGCTTACTTTCTCGTTCTTTTTTGTGGTTGGGCTACCGGTTTGTTCAGTGGCACTTGTTGGATTACGTCGTTTTTTCCTGCTTCTTTGTTCATCATCTGTTGCTGTGTGATATCTCGGATTTGTTCATCATACCATGACTGAGTCTCCTTCTGCTGTGTTACAAACTAAACCCGTTCCGGTTAGTTCATATGACAAAAATCAGTAACATACTGTAGTGATGAGAATATTTTGAAGGACTTGAACTTTCACAAAGATCAATTGATAAACCCACTGCACCAAAAATTCTTAATGAGACTAGTTTTCCCATAAATTCTATCTTCTTTTTGTTGTTGTTGTTGTTGTTGTTGTTGTTGTTGTTATAGAGAAAGAAAAACAGCGGCTATATTTTTAACGAAAAAATTTCATTTTTATAGTAGTGATATTGGGTTGGAAACTTGTTGTAAAGCTTTTCCAAAAGTCAGCTTCACCCCCCACAAATCATAAATCCTAAATCCACAACAATTAAACAGCATAGATCTAAGAAAGGATACCTACCATAGATGTATTCTTTATGGACCACACATGAATAAATCTAAGGATAAACCTCAACTAAGGAACATACCTTACCTACGTCTGGATCTGGTGGTGGGAGGTTGTTTTCACTGGAATAAGAGTGAATGGAGTGATCATCTGGTGGTGTCTTCTTCTTCTTGCTTGGAGCCATTGTCAAAAATTGGGATTTTTGTATGTTAGCTGCAGAGTGAAAGAACCCATATTTCAAAAATGAAGAAGAAAACCCACATTCAAAAGCAAATAAAAAAATAAACCAGATAGAAGACAAAGATTCAAATTCAGAATAAAAACCTTGATGAAAAAAAAAAAAATCAGATCATACCACGTTGCTGTCGAAACTTGGTGTAACGGAGCTCAAATCGACCACAACGGAGAATGGTATTCCTAGATGAAGCCCTCGGTAGCCTTGTGGAACCAGATTTGAGCATAGCAAAGGAAGAGAGAGATAGAGGAGAGTCGTTGGGAAAAGCTGTTGTTTAAGAAGGATTAGAGTTCTTCATATCACACAGCAAAGGAAAGTTAAGAGAAATAAAGATGGATTGAGAGAAACGTGATTTGGTTCTGTTTTTCAAAAACGTATTCCAAAACTTACAATAAACAAGTTTAAAAACCAAAAATGTATTGTAAAACCGCAAGCAACCAGATTACATATTTCCCTATTAACTTCTCCAATCATGCACATACACATACAAAACTTACCCAACTATGATTACTCCTATATTAACTTGCTCTCTTTCTTTGACTCCACAACCACACTGACCATTAAACTGAGATTCTCTTCATACATAAATTTCTCAGTTTCTAGGTGGCCTGGCAGGCACTACGGCAGTGGGCTGCGACTTCAATTTGGAGGCAAAGCCCATGTTGAAATACACTCAGTAGAGAGTGAACAGGAGAGAGAAGAATAAAGTTATGAGAGTAGAGAAAATGTATTATTCGAGATGTTTTTTACACTATATGAAGGGTATATATAGTACAATGGTGAGTGTTGTCCAAGAACACACAAAAGGAAAGAGAAATCAAATCCTATCACAATCATATCAAATCAAATCATACCTAAAGTAATTATGGTAGTAATGCTAGAATAGGTAGAAGTCAATCATGGTAAAAAAAGGAAATGATAACTATTAACAGGTAACAGCCCAAATGGCAGTGCATATAGCAACTGTGGTTGAAATCATAGACAAGATGCCACTATATTCAAATGCCAATTGACAGTGAAACTACAATAACTACAAACATTAACTTCTATTTGAATCATGAACATGAATCACCCAAATAAAATCAAAGACTGATGCTTAAAGATAGATACAATCTTCTCCAGAGCAATCTTTAACTCAACCCATTTACGTCAATTACCATTTAACCAACTACATCACACATAAATCAAATAAACTAAACTAGTTTAGTCCTAACTAGTTGGGGGTGGTCGGCTATATCAATTTGCCTTCTCTATTTGGCTTTATGAAAGCAAACCATATCATCTGTTAAAAAACAACATCAAGCATAACTAGACATCTCAAATCAAATTGAGATCAGCAATATCTCAGAACTACCCATCACTATTACAAATCACATTTTTATGTACTGACATATAACTTAGGGTAACTATCAATAGGTCCTAATAGCTGAATTTAATTTCCAAGTCTTATTAAAAATAAGTCCAAATAAAATCGTCGCTAAAAATAATTTTTTATGACGATTTTTTGCATGTCGCTAAAAATTGATAATTAGTGACTTTTTTGTCATGGTTTTTATAAATTGTCGCTAAAACTTATAATTAGTGACGTTTTTCTGTGATAAAATTTTCAAACTATTGCTAAAAATTAAAAATTAGTGACTTTTTGTGACTATTTTTTTAAACTCTCGCTAAAACTTATAATTAGTGACCTATTCTCCAATAGTTTCTATGATAATTAATGATATTTTTCATCAAATACTATTAAAAAAATCACTAATTGTTAATTGTTAATTTTCAGCGAAGTCTAAATTTTTTTATAGCAAGTCTCCTAAAACTTAATCAACACAACCTATACACACAAATGTATCTAACATGGTAATAAATAAAAGGAAAAAAGCAAAACCTTCTCCTTTGAGCTTGTTCCAGGATGATTCGAGGCCATTCGTTAGGTGGCCGAACATTTCTGCCTTGGAGTTGAGCAAGCCCCATAACTCTCTCTGCCAAACAAACAAATCATATACCCAGATAAATAGAATTTATATATATATATATATATAAAATGGTATAAAGAAATTGAAATTTACTGGAAAGATTGAAATGGGTGTAATTAATTGAAGTAAAGTGTGTTGTTGGAGTTACGGTGAAGGAATTTCTGGAAGAGAAGGCAACGGAGAGAGTTGAGGCTGCCCAGGAAGAGCTAATGGTGGTTGAATTTGTTGAATTGGAAGAGGAGAGGGTTTTGTGGATTGGAAGTGAAGAAGAAGAAGAAGAAGAAGAATTAAGAGAGAAACGGCGGGAAGTGAGGGTTGAGAAAGGGATGGTGGTGGCTTCCATGGTGAAGAAGACTACTCTCTCTCTCTCTCTCTCTGTCGCTTGT